GGCTCTATCCTTGTTTATAGAACACGGAAGCTGATTTTAATTTTTTATTATCTGCTTTAATTTATTATCTTTTCATCTTTTTATTAATATTATTATCTAAGAAATAAATTAAAAAACAACTTACTCTACTACTAGCACTTTCTGGTCTTATTTCTTCTTCACCTGCACTATGACTTCTTCTTCTAGCAATAGGTGCTGCAAGTTTGTTGGGATTAACATATGGTGTGTCTATTGGCAGTCTGGGATCAATGAAAGTTGTACTTCTTGAAGTATGATCAATAAAAAATTGCTAATAAAAACAAAAATTAATACATTATAATATCATGATATAAGCTTTGAACTTTGTATTACATGTTGTTGTATATAAATTTTATAGACTTGTAGAACATAATGGAAGAGTAATTTATTTCATGAAATTATTTATAACATTTTAGGAAAAATTTCATATTATTAATGTCATAAAAAATATACTTTCCTATTGGAAATTTTAATTTAATTTTTTAAAGAAGAATGTGCATTATTACATTTTTGTCATTTAATCACAATCATATTTATGTTGCATTTGCTACATTTCTTTAGTCAATAAATGTTATGGTAGAAAAATAAAAATGAAAAAGTAATGAATTTGACTTAATGGAAGAGTAATTTATATAACTATCTTCTAAGTCAAATTCATTACTTTTTCATTTTTATTTTTCTACCATAACATTTATTGACTAAAGAAATGTAGCAAATGCAACATAAATATGATTGTGATTAAATGACAAAAATGTAATAATGCACATTCTTCTTTAAAAAATTAAATTAAAATTTCCAATAGGAAAGTATATTTTTTATGACATTAATAATATGAAATTTTTCCTAAAATGTTATAAATAATTTCATGAAATAAAATCTGTTAACTATTTCGAAACATTTTTAAAACCATATATAATTAAGTTCACTATTCTGTTTGAACATGTCTAATTTTCTAAGGTTCAAGAAACCTCTAAACTAGACTAGACATTGTTAGTTACTAAATGGTGGTGGTCTCATGTTTCTATCCCACATTTCATATAATGCTGCACAGGAGGGCTTTATTTATCAATCAATCAATCCTGACAATTATTTAGCTTAAATATGAGATATTTAATTACCTTAAGTATTGCTTTTTAACATAGATCATCTTCATATGAATCTAATTGTTTAAATAAATTCTAACAGAGCATTTTTTTACTAATTGTTTTTCTGTATCAAAATAATTACCATATTTACTTGCACATAAGACGAGGTGTGACTTTAAAGATCAAAATAAAGAAAATTAGATTTATTAATACAATTCTAATTTTATTTTGTTTAATCACAAGTAAAATATCAAATGCACATAAATGCACACATTGTCCTGCAAAAATTACTGGCATTTTAAACTTTAAGGAAAAAGTCTTGTAAAATCAACATAATTTGTTCATGTAAAGCTGGACAATTGGGAATCCTTTTTTTTTCCAATTCTTAACAGTTGAATCCACTCTCCGTCAATTAAACTTATGAGTTTCTCTGAATTCTTATTTCTAAATAATCATTGTTTTCATGTGAAAATGGATTAAAACTTATATCGGGTTCCCATGTGATTTTGGAATTTCAATCTGTAATTCAATTCAAAAGCTTTGCTTTTCCTATTATCTTTACTCCTGACAATATACAAGAATATACCCACATAAAATACTTATGCTTACCCTCTTGTATTTAAAAACATAAGGTAAAAAATGTGAATACACAGTTCACAAGAATTATTTGCAAAAACACAAAGAATCTATATATATAGTGTGTGTTAGATAATATTTTGTATTTTTATTAATATTCACATTTACCTTTCCAGATCTATCCAATTTTGTTTCCCAACCTCTTGGTAAATCTCTAACAGTATCAGCAAATTTATTCAAAAGACATACTAGATCTCGGTTGTGTTGATATCTAAAAATATAAAATAATTTTCAGTTATTACAAAAAATATTGTGATTAATAGAAATAAAACTGTAAAAAAGGAAAAACATCAAACACTAAGATACATATACTTTTTCTATCAGGCAAAAGGCAAAAACATTTGTAAGGAGAGATCTTGTCCTTAGAGTGGGCATGTCAAGCAGTGATTTTATAGGAACAATTCTCTGATTTGAATGAAACTAACATAAAAGTAATTCTTATAAAGAATAATCAAAAGTGTATTTTTTTGCCTTTATAGAAATTTTTATAACAGTCAATCACAATTTCAAAATTTTGAAAAATTCTATGATGACAACAAATTGTTGTGAAAAAATATTCATTATAGATCAAGTCAACATTAAATTTGTGTTTTTGCATTTGTTTTAAAAATATATACAGTGTACTTTATATTAGTGTATATTAAGCAATTATTCTCATAATTGTTCCATTTTTTTAATGGCTAGCCATCATTCTGCCATTCTAGAGGAATGAATGCCTTAATTTTCATGGATGGGTTGACTCACATATATCACACCTCATACTTCATATCTAGATAATCTTACTGGTCTAGATGCACATATTATTTTTATTTGTAACCCCCATCTTAGAATTTTTATGTTACCCCAAAACTTTTTAACTGATTAAGTAATATAAGAATACAAATTATTTTGCACACTGCATTGTGCACTTACTATCATAAAATTTCTCAAGTAATTTACTATTTCTTAACTCATTTCATACAAATTTTATTTTATTAAAACAGAGAACAGATTTGATAACTCTCTGAGTATAAAAATAAAATTTTGCATCTTATTTATGCTTTTAAGGCAAAAATATATTTTATTACTTTTATACATAAATTACTTATATACTCAGTTTAAAAATTCTGATTTTAACAGTGTATAATAAATGTTTAAATACAATATATAATTTTACATAAATCATCTATTTTTTAAATAGCCTATTTAAAATATAAATTCATTCATTATAAATGAAATACCTTTCAAATGTTGATGGATCCCTTCTAATTTTTGTGGTCATATGTTTTAATGATGAACTTCTATTATACATGGTGATGGCTTCCTATTAGAATTATATATAAGAAGAATATATAAGAACAATGTATACCTTTAACATAAGAACAATCTGTGAAATTTTTTATCTTACATCATTCATATGCAACACACTGAAAAAGTCTGGACGAGTGATAAAACGGACAGCTGGAGAGCATAATAATAATACTCTCTGATTTTCAGGACTTGATGAAGAAGGCACTGGTGTGGAACCAGAGGCAGTAGCTGAGGCTGCATCCTCATGAGTTCGTGAAGTAATGGTTCGACGTATGCTCTGATACCTGATTATGCCCATTAATCAATGCAAATATCTAAAATTTTTTCCATTAACCTGTCATACAAACAAACTAACCTGCGGTCCAATTGTTGTCGCTGTAATTCATTTGTTGTACCTAAATTCTGTTGTTGGGAAGCTGTAGGACGAGTCCACGTTGTTGTACGATTCACATGATCTATATAAAATATTCGTCCATGGCTGTCTATTCTTGCTTCCCAATCTATAAACAATTAACCAGATAACATTAACTATATATTATTTAATTGTTCATATTTATAATTATAAATATTTTAAAAGTAAATCAACATATTTTGTTCACAAACTAAATTAATTTATTAAAAAAAGCACTTTAGAAAATCACATATTTGACTTAATATTTGTATTTTTTTTTCTACTTCTGAATATCATAAATAATTCAATCCTTTTTTATGAAAATATATTTAACCTTTATGCAATATATCTTAAGTAAAATAATCATATTACTTTTTTAGATTGCTCAAACAATAGCATGCACACCAGAAACAACTGTGTGGAATACTAAGAATACTAAACATTAGAACAAGCCTTAATTCAAACGATTAGTGTCATATTTATTTTTATTTTAATACAATTGTTTTTTAACAGATTTCAATGTTGTCATCATTTAACTCATTCATAATCAGGGTACTTGCCAAAATCTACAAAAAAATTTCCCAGTTTTTCCCAGAGAAAAATTTTTTCAATTTATTTTTAACTCTTCACAAGAAGAACCTTTGCAATTTTATATTTCATATTTCCATTACAAAATAAACAATACTAAAACAATTCATTTCAGTTTTAGTTTCTGTAGAAACATCATTGAAAATAAATAGTTAATATTAGTGATAGTAATATAAAATCCTCGGTAATGGATCTCAATTCAATAGATTTCAAGTTTAACAAACAAAATTTGATATTTTCTAAGTTGGTATTATTTTTTGTAATGCAACAGATTTTAAAATAATTTTATTTACTAATTCATTATGGATAATTTATTTTTATTTATTATAATTTTCTATTACTTAGAAATATTATATATTTAGTGAAATTTGCAGCTTTTTATGTAATGTAGGTTGTACTGTGTTTCAAAATGTAGTTTAGACAGTCTCCATGCATCTGACTTTTCAGACAGATGAGCTATCTTGATTTGGATAAATTTGCCAAGTTTTTGTGATTTAGCAGCTCCCTTTAATGCTCCATTTGTTTGTCTCAACCCTTTCATAGTATTTATCTAGGATAGAATGTTAACTACTGTGGCTGTATTCCATCTAACTGCATTGTCTTGTGTAGCAAAGAATAATAGTGGTAGTGAGATGCCCTTACTGGCTTTATAGTGATTTGACATCAAATTTGAAAACAATTTGACACACATTGGTAAAGTTTAGGAAGTGTATCCTGTATAAAAGTGTTTTTCAACCATCAATCCATGGACCAGTGCTGGTCTATGAAAAAATTTCATCAGTCCTCAGAAAAATATTTGACCATACTGAAATTGATGTAGTTGATTATGAATGACATAAATAGTAGTCTAGAGTTACTTTCAGTAACAAAGTACATATAGTAACTCTAAGTAAGCATAAATAAGCATAATTCATGATCCACATAAAATTATGAATAATTTTAATGGTCCACAATGAGCAAAAGCTTGAGAAATACTGCTAAAGAGACTATTTGTCTAGGGGGACTGCATAACTGCGATAAACTCATCACCTGTTAGAAATAACTCATTTGACCAGTTGGCAAGTCTTGTGCTCTATACTTGTAATTCTTTATTTGCCATCCTACAAACTTCTGGAGGTGTTTTTCTATCATGAAAGTAGAAGAGCCATATTTTTCCAAAACTAGTCTGAGTTCTGTTTTGTTTGAGTTTTTGCAAAGACAATAATCTTGGTATACTGGATACTGGGATGACAGACCTTTAAAAAATGGCATTACACAAGTCAAGGCAAATTTAGAGTGCCTTCATACCCTGTTTTGTAATTTTTATAAAGTCATCTAGTGCAGGTGTGCAATTTGTGCTCTATGTATTCTAGGAGGACTTACTTGTAGCTGTCTTTTTTCATTAGTACAAGTGCCTTACTTCTGTTGACTGTCATCATAATGATACAGTTGTGTGTGCACCTTGTTTGTTTGTTGTATGGTCTTTTCATAATTGACATTTGTGAGTTGCTTCTTGTGTTGAGCAGGATGATGGGCATCTTTTATCTGTACAGGTAATGTCATCTACAGATCAAACCAGCATCCCAAAGAAAAGAAATGGAATGTATTATCCATTTCAGAGATAATATAGTCCATTTCTTTTCTTTGGGTTCTGGGCCATATCTTGGGCTGTATTTGAAGGCTATTCTCAAACACTTTTGGTTCAATGTTGTTCCAACATAGAAGTTAATGCTTCAATCTTGCATTTAGGAAGGCCTGATTGGATGTGTAGAAACCACCTGAAGCTTTTTGATGAATTTCTCTGAAGATGACACATAATCTATTGCTTCTTAATCCCAACATTGTAAAATGCACAAATTTTTTGCAATGACATCACCCAACAGCATGATGTGCTGAAATGAGCACTACTTTGAATTTTTTTTTTCAAACTGATGTTCTAGAACTCAATCATTGAACATTTGAAGATGGCTATTCGAGATAGATGAAAACATTTAATAAATTAATCTTCTAATAACAAAACATTAATCAATACAAAATTCACCAAACTTATGTAGGTCTAGCACATAAGTGAGAAAACTGTTACTAGCATTTTCAATGTGTAGAAGGCTCTCTGACATATTTGAATTTGAACATATTAGTAACTTATATGCAAGGTCTACATAAGGTTGGTGAACTTTATATTATAATGAAAACATTTGTTTTTTCTTGCTATAGTATGTGTTAGAAACTTTACTGACCAGTATGATATTGTTTTGTATATAAATAAAAAAAAAAAAAAACTTTTAATCTAAGGATTTGTGATATCCTTACATGTTTGTCATATCTTTACAAAGAAAGCTACAAGTTTTTACTCATGTTCAATATATAATTGTTCAGCTGTTATTTCAGGATAAATGGGGCCATTTATCTTTTTCTTATCAGAAAAGAAAAAATCCCAAATGAAGTTACTGTTGTCTTATGCATGTGGTGAGAGATGGTTCTTCACAAAGAGACAGGAAATAAAACAAAAAAAACGTGCTTTAATTTTTCTTGTGGTAACTAATACAAGAAAGGTTCATACGGATTCCGACCTCCTAATTCCTTAATTCAAAAAAATACACCTGTTCCGATACACAGCAGAACAAGAACTCTCGCGATACAAAAATTTCCTTATTATCTAACTTAAATCTACTTATTCTAAAAATATAAGAGAGAAAAAAAGGGATAGAACATGAGAAAGACAGAAATATATTCTCTAGAAGGAACGGGTACCCGAATTGGCGATCGATGTGGAGCAGTTGGATGACATTGTCTTGGGATGTCTTTCGGGGACGTCTGTGGAAATTGATGGAAAAATGTCTGGGATCCTTAGTCTACCAATGTCCTTAATAACGATCTCCTTTCTTCAGAACTGTTCGTGACCCTTTTTCAGGTGGAGCAACACCGACCTGGAGACCTTTCTCATATACGTCTTTCCTTTTCTAGACCCAAAGCAAAAGTGACCTTCTGGTCTCCTACTTGCCCTCTGGGCTCTTTCTTTTCCTTGTCCCCTAACTAGGTCACCCACCCCCCACAGTTAGAAGAAAGTTCCAGGAAGTATAGACAAAGGAACATAGAACAAAGAAGGAAAGGGATGGAAAAACAATACATATAAAAATATAAAATTTACACTGGTGTATCACCACATTACATATGGAGTTGTAGCACATAAGATGCGCTAATTTATGTGCGCATCTTATGTGCTACAACTCCATATTCCAATTTAACAACAAGACCTATTTACAAAAACGAGGGGTACCCATGGGCAGCCCACTGTCTAGCGACTTATGTGAGCTGGTATTACGTAGATTGGAAGAAACAGTCATACCAAAGTATAGTTCTAATATAATTATTTATAAGAGATATGTGGACGATGTCTTTATTCTGTGGAAAACGAAACCACACATCAATGAGTTTTTGAGCCACATGAACAAAAATCCATACGGGCTGACCCTGAAACTAGATCAATTAACAACCATCAATGCACACTTCCTAGACATAAACATCATGCTCAACGGTGGAAGTATTGATACGGGTATATATTATAAACCCAGCTACATCCCATGGTTTATACCGGCAAACTCAGCGGACCCGTACAATTATAAAATCGCAGCATTCCGGGCATTGGTTAGAAGAGCATTTATGCACCCTTCTAAATGGAGTGACACGATAACTGAGTTACAAAATATAGAACGCATTGCAGTCGCACATGGATACAGAAAAGAACTAATACGAGGACTGGCAAATGCCTATTTACGAACACATGAAACACAAGAGGCACCCATTACTCAAAATGCTAATCAAGATTCAAAGAGAAGACTCAATATCGTTGAATACAGCAAACAATTTCAAGCGTTATGTAGAGAAATTGCAACTAAAACGAACACCAAGGTAGCGTACTGAAGTACCCCCAATATATATCAATTACTACGTAATGCAAGCAAAAGACAAATAGAACAATCTTAGAGCTCCGGGGGTATATAGTATTCCTGTAAAAGATGATCAATTTAAACAAGAAATGGTATACATAGGCTCCACGAAGCGTTCAATCCAACAGAGAATTAAGGAGCACAAATATGACATAGAACATGCTCGATACACCACTGCACTATCCACCTACGCAACCAACCCGGATATTCACGCAGAACTATCAAAAGTCAAATTACTAAATAGAGCTTTTAATATGGACCACATCAGAGCCCTTGAAGCCCTGGAAATCTACAAAGCTGGCAGGACGGGGAGATGTATAAACACCAAAGACGGCAATATGCTTTCTTATGCTTCGCGTTACATATGCGAAGAACAACAAAACGATGACGATACGTAACACGCGCATGAATTCGATTATATTTGAAAACTAAACGTTCATTCTAAAAATGGAATCCAAGTATTTTAACCTGAAGCAGGCCTCGACTGAGGCCGAAAACGTTTGTTTTTACAAATAATTTACAAGTACTGGACAATAAAGGTTTAGTAAGTGCGATTCCATTTATAGAAAATGTTCCATGAATAAGCATTCCATTTAAAATTTAACTTTAGAAGTCTTTAGAATACTTTTAACTTCAAAAGTATTATAATACTTTTGTAAATAGAATGTGACTTTAAGTTAGCATTCAGTTGTATGTGTCAGAAGAGAGAAAGGAAAGTGACTTTGAAATAAACTGTAATGCTTTCAGTGTAAAAGTTGGAAGCATCAAAAATCATTCTTTATTATATGCAGAAGAAAAAATACTTTTATACAGATTGTTGAAAAAAATGGAATATCCTGTTATTAATGCTGGATATTCAATTTTTTTTAATGTCTGTATTACAGACATTTATATTGTATAATCAAAATTTAATTTTCAAATCTTAAAATCTTTTCCAAACTTTCAAGAGAGGAAAATGTGGGATATCTGAAAATATTTGAAATATAATTTTAAATCCAAAAATTTTATGACAATATATATTTTAAAAAGAACTTATCCATTTTAAATTAGGTTGCGGTTGTTTCTCAGATAACCGCAACTGAAAATAATCAATATTAAATTATTTATTAAAATTAATAACTAATAAATTATAAAATATGTATAATTTAAAATAGTTTATTTTAAAAATATTTCTTACATGGAGGCAGTGGTTCTTCTAATTCTACTCTCTGATACCTAATGGTTCTTTCAGGAATAGAAGGCAGCCGAGTGGTAGGGAAATGTAAGGAGGTAGTGGTTGATGGTGTTTCAGCACTGGGTGTATTGATAGTTGGTATCACAGTGTTAGTTGAGATACTAATATTAAAATAAAATAAAAATTAATTCTTACATAAACATTTTAAAACATTCATCAAATATTTTAATTTTATAATAAAATTCTATATTATTAAAACTAAGCCAAACGATTGCCATAATTAATTGGGCTAATATTAATAAGTATAAACTAAGTAATTTGGTACTCAAGGTAGATGTTGTGTGCCCTCTCTTATATAAATTAATAATTATAATAATTTATTAAATAATTTAGAACATTCTGGAAGAAAAGAACTAGCACGGAGCAGGACTTGTGCCTCTAGTACCAAATTACTTAGTTTCTAATTATTAATTATAGCATAATATTAGCCCAATTAATTATGGTGATCATTTGGCTTAGTATCAGTACATTGGGTTTAGGGATGTTGATACATATATCTATATTATTAAATAAATCTATTATTCAACATTTTATTTTCCTGTAAGAGAAATATTTCAAAGATGTAACAATCTTTTATAATTTTTATAAAGAATTTTTAACATTTTCTGAGAATGAAGGTAGTCTTCAAAATACTTTATTAATTTAACCTTTTAATTAATAATATAACTCGACATTTAAAAATTACTTCAAATAAAGTATATTTTATTTAATTAAGAAAAGGAAAAAAAACAACATATAATGTTTTGAGTTTGCCCATTTTTATGACCATGTCTAATATATCTTGTTTGTGTTTCAATTTTTATATATGTATGTTGTGATAGAAATGGAAAATAAACATGTTAAAATGTATTTTAATTATAATTTGCTTAATTTTTAATTAAAAATAAACAAAAAAGCTAGCATTTCTAGAAATTGGATGGAAATTGAATCTTTTTGATATTCTTTCTGAAGTTTAATTTTTAAGTTTGGCTCTATCCTACAGAATGTCAATCATCTTATAAAAATTACAAAGTTGAGGACTAAATACAGAAAACATTTTGAAATATTCTACATATATGTTTACAACCATCAGAATGTAAGTACTACTAGGGGAGTCATCTTTTCATTAGAAACTCTTCATTGCCTAAACACATGGAAATTATTTGGTAATGAATACTTTGAATGAATGTATAGAAGATTTCAGTATTTTAACCTTCAATTTTGTAATTTTTCTAATATGTGCCATCCTGAAATTTTGAAAATTTTTATTTTTACAAAGGTCAACATTCTTATTTGCAATTTCTTTCAGTGTAATTTATTATTGCTGATTATTCTTTTGATACTGGTATTTATATAAAATAGCAGAAACTCTACGTAAAAATGTTAAAATTCTGGAAAAAAAAATAATTTTTAGAAAAATTAAATTATGAAAAAAATATCAAAACAAACGACAGAATTCTTTTGAATTCTGTTGTCTTTATATTCTTCCCATAGTTTATTTTATAGAATCTGAGAGATTCCACTTGATTGCAAAATTCCAGGAAATAGCTGATTTCTTAAAAAGAAAAGAAAAAAAAAAAAAAAAGGTTAAAACAAGTTTTAATGAACTGCCTAGCTGTTTTGTTATTTTTAAATTATTTTTGTGAATCATACGATAATTTTGTTCATATAATGATTATTTATTTACTTGTACTCAATTTTTGAAACAAAAAAGATTTTTAGTTCTTTTTAAAGCTCTGTTTCAGTTTCAGCTTTTTGTAAAAACTAAAACTGTGGTTCAGTATCTGAGATCAACTCGTCACAGTGTAGGGAGTGATACAAAAAGTGACTGAACTGATTAGATACAAAGTTCAACATTCCAATTTAACTTTTAAAATACAAGATTCTTACATTTTGACTAATTTTTCCAATTAATATCTACAGGCATAGCTGAGATACTATTCATTTTTTGCAGCTATTGTTATATTATTATTTTTTATACCACAAATTTCTATCTCACTGCTTTAATGTTCCCTAAATCTTGTTCATACAACTGGTCATATTCTGCATCTCTGATGTTTTCTAAACAATAAAAGATAGTTAGATGCCAAGTCAGTTAAAAATTGTTAGTATTCTATTTTGAGAAACTTGAGATTAAATCCAGGCAACTCAGAATTTTCAGACAGTCTATCCTGGATATGTCAGACAGTGTTCCTCATCATCTAGCCAAGTCATTATATGATTAGTTAGTCTAACCTTCACTTATAGAACTATTAATTTACCATACTACTCATAGTGCCAACTGGGGGACATCAGCACCCATGGGCTATAACTCCCCCATGGCACTCATCCAGCTACCTCTAAAAGGTGGGAACAATGAGTTAATGAGTATAAATTACTCAATGTACATTATATTATTTTATTCACACTTATACACCATAACAGCATTTTAATAAATTTTACACAGTTCATCATTAATATGTTTTTAAACATACAATAGAGTCCTGCTAGTCTGAACTAATTGGGATTAGCCTAATAATTGAAATAATGATTTATTAATTTTGTAGAGAATTAATACAGTACTACAATAAAATACAAATTTTTTTTGTTGTGAAATTCTAAATCTTTTTGTACCATTAATACCATTTAAATTCAACTGGAAAATACAAAAACAAAATGTATATTTTGTGAACTAAAAAATTTCCTCTCCACCAACTGAAACAGGTTTGGATTAGGCAGACATTTGAAACTCTACTGTATTCAATTTAAAATACTTTTGACAATAGACATCTCTTTCCCCTAAAAGTCTATTAAATTGAGGATTTGCTGTAATTTTATTGCCTTAAATTTAAGCTTAGTTCATACACAGAGCAAACTGCTGATAAAAAGCAAAAGCCTAATAAATATTGAGGCAGCAGTAAAGTTTTTTCAAATTTTTTTGTTTTGAGAATTGCAATTACATTTTAACATTCACCACTAACTGAAACAAAGAATTTTAGAGATAAGAAAGAGAGATTTAAACAAAGCTGCTTCAATTATATTCTTATAATTAATTTTAAAATGTTCTTTTTGGAAAATAAATGGATGAAGTAAGTATAAAAAACAATTTATCATCAGCAACCATATTGTTTCAATGACATTGGCTATGGTTCACATAATTGTTCATTTTACTTTTCTTGTTTAGAGAGAATCTAGTTAGCTTTTCCATCTCCTTGTCATAGAATGTTGCTGCCAATGAACTGAGATGACGTTAACGTTGTTTTGAAGATCGTCATTAGTCTCAAATCTCTGCCCTCCTAGCCACTTTTCCTGTTCAGGAAAGAGGTGGAAGTCACTCGGCGCTAAATCGGGGCTATATGCTGGTTGTTTAAAGATGATGAAGACTTCTACCAGACTTCAGACCTTTCAGACTTCCACTCAGCTTTTAATATGTGAAGACTTCCATCTCTTTCCTGAACTGAAAATGTATCTAGCAGGGCAGAGATTTGAGACTTCAGATGGTCTTAACAACATTGTTTCGAAGATCATCGTAAGTCATTGGCGAAAACATTCTATGACAAGGGGGGTGGAAAAGCTTGTCCACAGATAATCACTGTGAAGATTGAGGCATTTGTCAAATGTCAAAAAGTAACCATGTTTGTACCTAACTTTTGGTAATAAATTCATTTTGTTATTTACACTTGCCTTTTTTTATGGACCATCAGAGCTTGGAAAAACTACCCCCGTATATTAAGGAAGCCCACTAATGTATTTTTTGTTTGTAAAAGTTTATATCCGTTCTAGCAATTTTTTTGTGTGGTATATATTATTGAGGATGATACATACAAAAATAAGGTATATATTAAATTATATACATGTTTTTAAACACTATTGTTATTTACACAAATTAATAAATTATTACTTATTCCACTTCTTTCTGTATATTAATTCTGATTTGTATGTTTTTTGAAAGTTAAAAGCAATTCTAAAAACCACTATTCCAAACATGAATATTTTGTAAAGTTGCTATGATTCGCAATAAACAATACAAAAGTAGTTTCAAATTACAGTGGTGCCTTGACTTATAAGTTTGTCATGGAACAAATTAAACCCTTAACTCAAATTACTTGTATGTCAATCAATTTTTTCCATTGAAATGCCATTAATCTGTTCCAGACACTTCAAAACACTGCAAATTTTTTGTTACATGTTTTTAAATAAGAAAAATGTACTTATAAATAGCAAATATTCTATAAAAACACTATAGAATGTACTGCAATAAACTGGTTTTGCAGATGTTGCAGCATTTGCTGCATAGATAAAGAAAGAAAAGAGAAAATTTGAGAAATGATAGACAGTGGCACCACATGGAAGTGAACTAATGCCTACATCATTCAATCACGTGTTTTTCTATAAGCTAGTCTGTCAAACATTGGAAGAGTAACAAAAAATGATGAAATTACAGCAACTTTCCATATTCTTTTTCTTAATCTATGGTTTGTTGTGGCATTTGCTGCACCAACTAGAGGTAAGTTCTGAAGCTGGCGTGTAACCTGAATTTTAGCTCTCAACTCAAAACAAAAAAATCAGCCAAGAAATATGAGTTTTTCAAGATACAAGCTAAGTTGGGATACTTGTAAGTCAAGGTACCACTGCATTCTTAATTAATTCAATTATCTTATTGTTTACATTACAAAGCCAAATGTTCAAAAATTTCAAGATTTTAATAAAAGCTAGCTTTATGTAAGCTATCTAAATTTTGTAATTTACAAAAGACTATCTTCAAGCAGTTAAAATTTTACATTCAAGCTAACATTTTTGGCCATGTAAATGGTCTTTTTCAGGTTCCAAAGATTGAACTACTGTATTTACTCACATATAAGACAACGTTTTTATTTATTTTTCACTGCTTCAAAAACCTAGGTCATCCTATATGCACAAGCAAAGGACTCTTTGCATTTTTGCAATAATTTTTGTCAACCCTGTCTTTGCATTTTTTACTGGATGCTCGCTCTCTAATGTTTAAAAACAAAACTATTTTATCTGGGTCATTTGAATCATTCTTGTGTATTGTCAGGAGTAAAGATGAATAGCAATAGGAAAAGCAAAGCTTTTGAATTGAATTCCAAATTGAAATTCCAGAATCGGCTTACAAGTAGTTCTG